TATCAGATTGGGCTCACGCCATAGTCCAGGATAATCTCCTTATTTTAAAGTCATTAAATTAGCAATCTTAATTCCCTTTTGCCACATGGCATAACATAGACACAGTTTCTGATAGTTAGGATGAAACTGTCTTTGGGAGCCCATTACCCTGTTGGCCCCTGAAGTCAGAAATGTCCTATATCTGTCTAGAATATGCACTGTTAAAACAGCCTTGTCTACCCAGATCCCACGGTGCTCCAGTCCATGCATACAAACCTATAGTAAAACCCATAGTCGTGGCAGCAAACACCAACAGCCATCTTGAGTGAACCCCATTCTTTGGCTGTGGGGTGTATTCTATCTTTGCTGTCATTCTGTCCCACTCCTTCCCACTTTGATGGTGGTACAGGATCCCTCCAGGTCCAGACCCAGGCTCTTTTGTGGGCTTGTGTGTAGATCCATCCCTCACTGGCTCCTACCTAGGGTTGCAGGAAACAGTCTAGCTCCCCTTACCAATCCGTGCTGGTCCAGCCCTAGATCCTAATCCGCCTGTTAAGCCAAGAATCAGTCCATCCTAAGCCCTGGGAGGGAGGGACATGAACTTCTGGACCCTGGAGAGAAAGACAGTCCTTAGATACAGGGCTCCAAAGCCTCTAAAGATCCGCCAGCAAGGAGGAGGAAGTGGTGCCCATTGAGGGCTCTGTCCTGAGCTACTCTGGTGGCAGGCCACAGAGTTGCCATGGCAATATCACAGACCTGGAGCTTGAGACATGGGCCCCCCTTCTCCCATCCATACCCACAGTTCACTCCAGAGCAGGCTTAGACTTTCCTGCATTCCCTATGTGGAAATAACAGCCATAGCTTGAGTAGAGAATGCGGTGTAAGCCTGTGGCTGCAGCACTGTGGTGCCGATGTGTCACATTCCTGACACCTCCATTCCTGGGGTAGAATCCCATCTGCCCTTATCGCCTCAGGCCAGCCAGCTTGCTTCAACCCCACGTGACCTCCTTTCCCAGAACTCACAACCCTCTTTTCAGTAACTTTCCAGATGTCACTTCCAACCTCCCTCCCCATCCCCATGGGCAAAGGATTCCCTTTGTCTCTTTCTCACACCTTCATTTTCCAAAACGTTGATGTTTAATTTATGTGCAGTCAAACACACAGATCTTAGGTGCACAGATGGATGAGTTTTGATAACCATGGATACCTCTGTGATCAACACCCCAGTGGAGACTGGATGCTTCCTCTTTCAGCCTACACCCACCACCACTCCCCCCCCCACCCCAGGTTATTTTGGAGCCCGACTGATAAGGAGGAAGAGAGAACTCTAGGAGGAAGACATGGAATGGCTGGAGCCTGCATCTGGGAACAGGAGGGCAGAGAAAAGTTCACCTGGCTGGGATGTGGGATTTCTTTCTTTCAACCCTAAGGCCCCGGAAGGAAGCAAGCACACCCTGCCCAGAATGAAGACCGCTCATGGGGGAGGTCCACAAGGGTCCCCAGGGGAGGCTAATGGAGTCATGTCTCCCCTGGGTGGCCCATGGGCTGTGGGCTCCTGTTACAACAATGCAGGAGAATGAATGGCCAGGAGTATGAGTGGCATTCTGATGTCCCCTGAGGCCACTAGGAAAGGAAGTTAGTCTTTTCTCTTCACAGATGAGGCTGAGGAAGCTTAGGGGCAGTGAAATTGTCAAACGGTAGCTCCTGGTAGAAGCTGCTCTCCACGCTGCTTCCCTGCCACAGAGGCCACGAAGTGACAGCCCAGGTGCCTGCCTTACTGGAAGCCTGCGAGGATGACTCCTCCCGAGGGTTCGGGGAGGGCACCTGCAAGTCTGCTCACTGCTTTGTCCCCCACCCTCTTTTGTCTGGATTCTCATCTCTGTGGGCCCCAGGAGCTTGGTCTGTTTGATGCTTTGGTGGTGTCTGGAGCACACTGGGTGCTCAGTGTTTGTTGGATGAACTTAATAATGTCTAATCCAACGTCTGCCAAGCCTACCACATCACCCTGAGCCTTGGTAATGGGCTTGATGTTCACTAAAGCAATTTTTTCAAAATGTCAAAGCAGACCTTCACTTCATCCCTCCCAAACTGGTCAGCACTCAGTGCTATGTTAAAGCATCACAGTTCATGGCAGTATAGCTCAGTGGTTACATGCAAAATTCTACTGGCAGACTGCCTGGCTTCCTATCCTAGCTCTGCCACTTTGGGCTGGGCATACAATCTCCCTGAGTCTTAGTTTCCTCTTTAATAAAATGGAGACTAATAACAGTACCTGTTTAGCAAGCTACTACGAGGAGTCAAAGAGTCATTGTAAACAGAGAGCCAGACACTTGCCTGAAAACATGGCTCATGCTACATAAATATTTGCCAGTGTAGTTTGAAATAGGATGGGAATAAAGTTATTGGAAAGATGTTTCCAACATGAATTAAACAGGATGGCTAAGCAATGACCTTGTTACAAGACAGGAATGTTTTATGGAAATTATCAGACAAAGGAAGGCACTGTTCTACCCAAGCACACACTTCTTTTAAGTGGTCCACCAACGGCTCTCCATCCTGGGTGTGTGTCTGGCATGGGGGATGATGTAGAGCCACACCAGGCCTTCCAAGTACCTGCACAAAGAGAAGCCGCCGTGGTGAAAGCCACTTGCACAGCGCCCTCACTGAGGAGTAAGCGGCTCAGCTCTCGCTGCCTGCATGGAGAGTCAGTGTTTCTGTGTAGGCAAGAAAGGGAGTGGCAGCAGTCACCTGCCCCACGGGGAGGTATGGAAGCCCCCCAATCTGTTAAGCTCTGTGTGGAAGGAAGGTCCTTCTATTCTGATGACTGCTGCTTTCCAGCAGCGCGGGAGGAAACTGCAGAGTTCTGAGCCCAGGGTCTTGCAGGGTTCCTTTCTCAGACGGCTCCTGCAATAGCTGTCAGAATAAACAGCTGTGGGCCACCGTCAAAGGCCAGGACTTGGCATCCAGCTTTAAGGCTCAGCTGGGCTTCTTGTCCGACTATGACCTCAGACATAACCCTTTTGCTCCTTGGCTTCCTCAACTCAGAGTGCGAAGGAGATGTCATTGCCTTGCTGGTCTCCACTACATGTTGCCGTGGCCTGGGTAGGAAGGGCAGTCTCAACAAGCCCAGCCTTGTCAGTACCAGTTATTTTTCTAACAGGTTGCAAGATCCTGTATGTAAGGCCCACCCTTTCCATGGCTTCCTTTTTATTTTCCTTTTAATTGTGAACAAACATGAATTTCATATATTGAGCTGGGCCTGTGTTTTGTGCCAGCAAAATCCATGGCTCTTTGTGTTGACCAAAGTCACAAGCAAAGCCTTTGCAAGAGCCAGAGGACCTGCCCAGGGCAGCTGCTCCTCCCCGTCAGTACTGTTTCCATCACCCCCTAGCATCTCCCTGGTCTACAGCAGCCTCTTGCTGCTCTCCCTCTCCCTCCCCTGCCCCCAGCCTAGTAGCACAACAGCACAGGGACTTTGAGAGAGACAATTTGACATGTTACTAACTGGCGCCAGTCTTTCTCTGGGATCCCCACCCCGCAGAGTGAAAGCAGCGCACCTCCCAACAGTCTACAGAGCCCTTGTCTATGATTCTCAACCTAGGCTGCACGGGGGACCCATCCAGCACGGTACACATGGATCCTGGGAGTCACCTTGGAAACTCTCATGCAATCGGTCTGGGGTACAGCACTGGCATTGGGATTTTTTTAAAAGATCTTTTATGAGTAGAACATGCAGCTATATTGAGAACCATGACCCCATCTGACCTGCTTCGATGGCTCCCCTAAGCTCATCTCCAACTACTGCCATTTATTCCAGCCATGTGAGCTTCCTTCCTCTTTCTCAAACATGCTGAGCTTGCTAGGATAGAGCTTGCCATTCCCTCTGCCTGGACAGTTTTTCCCTGAATATCTGAGCAGCTTGTTTCTTCATCTCTTCCAGGTCTTTGCTTAAATGCACCTTTGGAGAGGTGATAGAGGCCTTCTCTGACCACTCATAAATATAAGCAACTCCCACTCCTACCCGAGGAGGTCTCAGTCTGCCTCACCCACTTTATGTAGCTCTATCACACTTCCTACCATTAGATACTCAAGCTATTTGACTTGCTTTGTTCATTGTCTCGCCCCACTCAATGAGAATGCAAGCTGTAGAAAGGCAGGGACTCCTGTCTGTTTTGCTCCCTGCCCTGTCCCTGTCTCTAAACGATGCTGGCACATCGTAAGAACTTACTGGTCTTTATGTGAGTGTGTACTCACTCCTCTCCCTTCGTAGATTCCCAGCTCTTTCATCCCAGCAGCCCAGCCAGGGGTTCTCCCTGGGCTTGAGACAAATATACTCAATTATATAGCATACAGAAGCTGCTCAATAAATACCTATGGGGTTGAACTGAACTCTTGTCCCTAGAAGAACACACCTGCCAAACCCAGCTGCAAGATCTTGCCCCAAAACTCCAGATAGAAGCTCACTATAGTTTGGAGCTTTAAGCAAATTTTTTAAATGATGAGCAAAAGGGCAAAAGAAGGCATTGGGAGCTTACAAAAGTTAATGAGATTTTCTCAGCTGTGGTAAGTCCCCACATTTTTAATAATCAGGAGTAATAAATATTCTAACTGAACCTTAAAGGAACATCTTTGTGTAACAAAGAGAAGTCAAGACAGACTTCTCTGTCGGGTGTAATGACTTGTTAGCCTGGAAGATGGATGTACTTTAAAAAACTAATTTACAGAAAAAAATTGTTCATAAAAATGCAACTAATTGGGTTAAAATGACAGATGAAAGGGAATGCCAGATGATTCTAGTACCCTTAAGGAATAAATTAGGTAATTCATCCTTAAAATCTCCAGTGGAAGGGAGCCCTTCCCCTGCTCCACAGACAAGGAAACAGAGTCCAAGGGCCCAGACACAGGCTGAAGCAGGAAAGGGACCCAGAGTCCAGGGCCCAATCCTGGTTCTGTCCCTAGCATGGCAAGGACCCGTCTCCCCACAGGCATCTCGTCAAGGGCCACTCACTGACTCTGCTCACCCACTGGGTCTGAGGTCCGGTAGGGGCCTGTTGAGGGGCAGGCGGTCGCTGAGGTAGGCATTGTAGCCGTAGTACTGGAACTGCTTCAGGGCCACGCGCCGGCCTTCAGGGCTGAGCTCCTGGCCCCAGTGTGCGAACAGTGAGGAGTCTGTGAAGGGCTCAGCCTCTGCCTCCTCAGGCTTGGCAGGGGCCTCTGGAGAAAGAAGGGACAAGGAGACAGCGGTCAGAATGTAGCCCTGCATGTGCCAAAACAATCCCTTTCCCTTCTTCACAACAGTCTCTCTTGTAAATCGATTTGGCCCCTCCATTGGCAGGTAGAGGAGGGTGGAGTTTTTATGCTTCCCAATTCATTCATCCACGAATCTATCCATTCATTCATCCAACAATCACTAGACATGAGGCAATACAGAAACACAGCTGGCAGGGTCTGCCAAGAAGCTGGTGGATGTGAGCCTGATGCCCCTTTACTTTAAGGCAGAGCCTCCTTCTTTCCTATCTGTCTTCCTGCCAGAGACCTTGGCTCCCGTCCTTGAACTGGGTTGTTGCTTCTCTTTCCCCAGCCTGCATCCCATTCTCTGCTTGTCCTGAGCCAGCCTCCCTCTCGGGTTCCCTTGCTGAGTTCTTCTCCTCTGCCCAATTCTGGTTGGCCCATGTCCCTCTCCATGTCAGGTTCGACTGAGAGCTACCTGGCACCACCACATGGCAGGCACACAACTGGGATCACCCCAGCCACACGGCTTCCTGCTGCTCCTGACTCTAACCTAACTCTGCCCACTGGGATCAGGACACAGGAGACAGTTAAGCCATCCTCCATCCACATGCATGCCACCACTGCCCCTTGGAGCCCTGTGATCTTCATGGAGGCAACTCCATCCCAGGTCAAGGATGGCTCACAGTTTTCCAGGAACAATCCATGAACACAGAGAAGTCATTAGCTGGAAGGGCAGAGGCTTTGGATTAATGCAGTCATAAGTTCAAATCTTGTTCCCCACTCACTAGCTAGGTGACTACAGCAAACATTCAACCTCCTTAAGCTGAAATTTCCCTATCTGTAATCAGGGATCATAATACACCCACAGCCCCTGGACTTGAGATCTGTGAGGACTGCATCAACTAATGTACGTAAAACACTTAAATCAGCACATATCTCAGAATAGGTGTACAATCAATGGTAATCAGGATTACCATGTAAATCTCTCTTTTAGGTAAGGGGTAATGTGTAAGTCTTGCCAGACATAGCTGATAGGCTGAGACTTTTGAATTTATTGCCTAGGTCAGCCAGTTAAAGTCAGAAATCAGAGAAACTGGTCAGAGATGGTTATCCCACTGGACAGCACCTTCCAGGCTTACAATTGCATGAAGTAAGTTAGGGTTGGAGCCAGGGATTTGAATGAGACAGAGACCCCAGAAAGCAGAAACAGGTCAGAATCAAGAGAGACAGGTGTGGGGCATCTTCCAATGTCCCCTTAGTTGTTGCATGGGGCCCAGGGGTTCATGCATGACACACCTAAAGATACAAGCTGGGGCATAGGGTCCCAGGTCTTCAAGATCAGGGCATTCAGAGCTACGGACTTCCACCTCCTCATGAGCCACTGTGCTAAGGGCCCATGTGGAAAGAGGAGGAGACCTGAAGACAAAAGGTTTGGGAAGCTAACTGCTTGCTCTTTCTATAATGCCAGCTCTAAGCATTCTCACCTAATAACTCATCTCACTCAGGCTATGTCCACTTTACAGATAAAGCAAGTGAGGCATAGAGAGGACAAAAAACTTACTCAATCCCGGGCAGTCTGTCTCCCCAGGCCCTACCACTGAGCTTTACTGCCCCTATGTGACAGCAGGCTGGTATACAAATAATTCAAAAGACAAACATGGGACATTATGTGAGTTATCAATTTACCTTAAAGACATAAAAGGAAACACAGGTACATCAAGCAGATTAGGATCTATAGAGGAGTAAACTGCAAACTATGCACAGAGTTTCAAGACAAAGCAGGATTCTCAGGCATGTGGAGACCTGCTCACCACTCAACCTCAGAACTGGGGTACACTTGCTCATTCTCCTCCCCTCTGAGGCAGGCTTGAAAGGAAGTGCAGGCTTCACAATCTTGAAGGTCCTTGTTATCTCTAAAAAGGCATATGACTCATTCATTTGGAATGGGTGTTAGTAAAAGTCTAAATCAGTGAACCAACTGAATCATATATATTGAAAAGAAATGTAGTTTTATTGCTCTCAAATGTCTAAATGGATATTATCAAGTAAAATGAGATCAGTTAATGAAAAAATTATGATTCACAATTAGGCCTGTGCTGCATAATAGTGTATTACAAACATATTGGAGTCCTGAGTTACAGCACCACATGTCCCTAGGTTTTTACTCAATATGGGTGCAAAGGACAACTTGAAACCAGTGGGTCCTCAATGATGAATTAAGGAGCACTGCAGTGGGAAGGAAGTGATATTTGTTGCATTTTTGCCAAGAGTCAAGCACTGTGCTACGTGATGTAAGGTTTCCTTATCTCTCTGTGTGCTCATGAGCATGGACTCCATGAGGGCAGAACCGCATCTGTCTTCGTCCCATTGTGTCCTTGATTATTCTAGCACAATATGTGGCTCTGATGAGGGTCTTGAGACATCATTTTAAAATAAAGGAGTTAGGGTCAGGGATTTAGCTCAGTGGTTCCGATGCCTGCCTCACAAGCACAAGGTCCTGAGTTCGATCCCCAGTACCCCAAAAATAATAATAATAATAATAATAAAATAAAGGAGTTAATAATGAACTCAAGATAATTAGTTATTAGACACGAGGCAACCAAAGATGGAAAGGTTTAATGACAAGTCCAAGGTCACCACATTCATCAAAGGTATTAAACAAATGCCTGGCTTCCTCCAAACTCTGCTTCCACTCTTCTGCACCATGTGGCACACTATGGTCCATGGCCCACCATGTATTTTCGAAAATAAAGCTTTATTGAAACACCAACACATCCTTTTGCTGATATCATCTAAGCTGCTTTGGAGGTATAAGTACAAGGCTAAGTAGGCATGACAGACCATGGGATCCATGAGACTGAAAATACCTCCTACCTGGTCCTTTGAGAGACAGTTTGTTAGCCCTGCTCCATACATTGCAGTTGACTCAGGTGAGGAGACCTTGGCTCTGCTAACTCCATTCATTTTCTTCTTTCTTTTCCAGAGCTGGTTAAGGACAGTGGCTGTCAATTCAGAATCCCAAGGTCTATATTGCAGCTCTATCACTTACTTGTTTACTCTGTCTTATCCTGGGCTTCAGTTTCCTCCTCTGGAAAATGGATTGGTAATGATATCAAGAGTAACTCCCTCATAGAACATTTGAGTATGGAGATGGCTACATACAGAGCTTAGCACACAGTAAGCTCTCCATAAATGCTAGCAGCTGAAGACCCAGGAGCCCATGGCTCCCTTTCCCTCACTTGGGTCCAGATGGACAAGATGACCTGCTCTGAAGTCCTCAGCTCTGAAAGACACATATGGATCCAGGCCCCCAGACAAAGAAGAGACATAGACAAGCGGCCTCTCTTTAACCAGGCCCAGACTGAACTTCCTTCTGCAGTAAGAAAGCAGACCTACATGGTTGTCCAGCGAGGACCATCTTTGACACAGTGGAGGGCAGGCCAAGAGGACTCAGAGGAGTGCCTGGTCTGGGTGCTGGGCAGGCACCCAGGGGTATCTGGACATATTTGGTGATTGTCAGACCCTAGAACATCTCACCCTGGGACAAGACTGCTCCCAGGAGTGTACTCAGACTGAGGTCCTTGCTGGGACTCAGACCTACCTGGGTACATCTACCAGCTGGAGCATAAATCTAGGGCTTGAAGGCTCCCAAGGGAGGGCTCATTCAAGCAGAGACTGACAGGCCACAGTGACCTCAGCAGCAGTTGAGCTAGGGCACTGGAGGAGAGTATGTGGGGGGATCTACCCCAGCCCTCCCCACCCCACACTTGTCTGGGTCCCAGGGAGAAACAGAGTGAGAGGGAAAGAAGAAAGGGCTGTTTCATGCCAGGTCCAAGTGGCCTGCGTGTGACACAAAGGCAGGAGGCCTCCCTCTACCTCCCCCACTCACCATGGAGGGAGGATGTGGCCTGAGGAGTTCTGGCAGGGAGCCACTACCCAGCTCCTCAGCCTCTGCTCAGGACTCAGCAGTAGCCTTCTACTTCCCTCCTATAAAAATAAAATCCCTCCAGTGCTTCAGGCTCACCCACAAATGCTTCTGGCTTTCTCTTCTGCAAGGTTTTTCCTAAACATTGAGTCCCCTTCCAGCATTCCCCTTGCATATATATATTTAATCTTGCTTGTTATGTGTCTTCCCCAAATAGAATGTGAGCTCTGCGAGATTTACTTTGCTCTCTGCCATATCCCTAGTTCACAGTGATGATTGGTAAGGCTTAACCAGTATGGGTAAAATGAACAGTGGGAGTCAGGAAGTGCTTGCCTGCTAGGGATTCTCGGAACCCTTCCGAAGGGACAGGAGAGGACTGAAGCCTGGGACAGCAGGTAGAAGGTGAGGCCAGTGAAGCATGACTGAGCAGATTCAGAAGCATACAGTTACTTTTGTTTGCAGTTCACCCAAGCAAACAATTGTGTGCTCTTACACAGACTAGTGGGGCACTTTGGTGCTTCTCAGCTGGTTCCATGGAATCGGGTCCCTGGAGGACAAGCTACACTGCTTGACCAGGGCTCCTTGGTAAATCTCTTATAATTTCCTGGCACTTCTGCCAAGAATAGAACTGTGCACAGAGTAATCATCCCAAAATATAAGCAGAAGGGAGAAGAAGAAGGAAAGGAAAAGGTGGTGTCTCTCTCTTCCTACTGTCACCCAGAAGGGCTGAGAATCAGAGCCCCAAACATCCCTCCTTGCAGAAACTCAGCCACAGAGGTGGAAAGATCAGCATTTCCAGAAAAATGATCTTGGATGCCTTTGGGGAGTATCCAGCCCAAACCACACAGCTGCAGAGGACCAGGGGGGCAGGCCAGGTGTTCCCTTCCTTCCCCGAGCCCTGGCTCTCAGATGTCCCCAAGGCTTTGGCAGACATGTCGCTCCTTGTCCATGCTTCTGAGTCTCCTCAGTCTCCAAGGTGCTTTCGACAGAACCCTCATCAACCAACTCTGAGGACATGGATCACACTTTGAAGGGAGAAGGTGCAGTTGATGGACCT